TCGCGGCTTAACCTTACCGCGGGCCATCCAGTCGTTCACGCCTGAACTTCGTCGTTCAAGGCTTCCTTCCATCGGTCTCAACGATCTTCCGGTTGCACACAACGTCTCCGGCAGCAGGTTGCGGTGGTGGCACTTCGATGGCAAGGTGGCCGCTAGGCGGTTTGGTCTGATCGGAGCAACGAACATGGATGGTGGCGGCTGGAAGGGGCATGCATGGCGGCGGCTTCATAAGAATAGGGATAGGTTTGCTGCTTCACTAAAACGAGAGGGAGGGAAGGGTATCGGGTTTAAACCCGTGTCCCATCCAAACATTTGTCCATTATGGCATCATTAGTCCCTCATCCTAAAATCTTTTTCAATTTAAATCCGGAATTTACCCCTTTAGCCCCTGTCTCCAAAAGTCCTTTCATAATAGGTCCCGAAATTACCAATCAGCCCCTTAAGCCTTCAAATCTTTTCAATTTAAGTCCATTAATTACCAAACGCACCCTGACTTCTGAAATCCTTTTCAAATTAAATCCAGAACTTACACTTTTAACCCCCAACTTCTAAAATTGTAACAATTAACCCTCGAGACCAACACTTTGCTATATTATTAATGATTTTAGGGCTACTATTATTCGTGAATTTATCTATTTATTTATTTAATAAACGGGACGTTACATATAATCATGTATTATTCCTTAAAAGCATATACAATTCCACATGTTGTATGGCATTTTTGAGGTTGTGTATTTTTTTGGTTTCATGAGATGTATATGATTCTCAGCCTTATTGAATACAGTGAACAGTAAGAGTAGAATTGATCCCAAATTTTCCTCCCCCATAGATATCTGCAACATCAAATAAATGCACAATTAATTTTTGTTAAAAACATTAGTAATGATAATTATAAATTAACGATATGATACATGTTCAATTCATCAACCTCGGATACCAAAGCCAAAATCTCGTCTTTCATAGGCTGACGAGGCGACCATCCATTGAAACCCTTATATATATATATATATATATATATATATATATATATATATATATATATATATATAAGACATACACAAACCACATTCTCGTCTGATAACTCATGAAGCAATCCATCAAACACAATAACAACATCCTTTAATTTCACGATGTCATTCTTATTAACCATAGGAAATACATGATAAGAAGGCAACACCGGAATCGAAAGCACCAAAGTATTCACCCAACTGGAAGCACATGACAAGACAAAATTCTTTCTTTCTGAAAGTTAGCTTGTAACCCTCGATCTCAAAAACCATTTCCTCTACTTCGCTTTGAGGGTATGTCACAACTTCTGTAACAAAACACGTAATGTAGAAGTAAAGGATCTCGTTCTACCCACTACTACAAAAATACCCTTTAATGACACGCATTGCGTGTCGTAAAAGCCTCAGATGACACGCAAATGCATGTCAAGGAAGGCCCTGTCATAAAGGAAGATGACACGCTTTTGTGTGTCGTAAAATTACGACGCGCATTTACGATGCACATTTACGACATGCATTGCGTGTCAAGGAAGGCCCTGTCATAAAGGGAGACCACACACATTTGTGTGTCGTACCCTTAGGACGCACGGTTAGGACACACAATGCATATCATTAAATCCCCTGTCATAAATGAAGATGAAATGCATTTGCGTGTCATAAACTCTAGCGACCATTTACGATATGCATTTACGACTTGCCTTTACAATACTCATTTATGCATAATACAAAAATATGGAAACAAATATATACCAAAACAATGAGTTTCATCTAATAACATCATGTCAAAATATTGTAATACATTTATATTAAGGGGATTTCATTGTACATTGTTATTAAGAGGTTTTCCCTAACTATATAACCTATACCAAAACAATCAATTTCATCCAATAACATCATATCAAAATCCTCCATGTCATTGGTTTGCCACCTGGTGTACCAGGTAAAAATGTTGAACTTTTTGTCATGGGTTGCTGTCCACCGAGCAGATGTTATCAAAGAGAAGACACTAACCAATGTGACATGTGAGAGCCTGTAAGACACAGATGAAATAAATATATTACCAATTGAACTTTAAAAATATCTATTATACATAGATATGTATAGGGTTACTTTAGTTCTTGATATTTAAAATGTCCAAATTAGCCCTGTAATTGGAATATTTTTAAAATATAATTGTTGGAAAAAGTTGTTAAAATGTAACTGGCTTATTTAAACATGTGTATACTAGAATGTAGAAAAGAAAGTACCCGTGTACAGAGACTAAACAAAGTAGTGTAAGACTATGAATAGAATTATTACAAAATGCATTAAACACAAGAAAATATATAAGAGTAAAACCTTGGGACATCTTCAAGCATGTAGACACGAATATGATTATATTATGTAGATATCCATTTTGTAAACTCATGCCTCCAGTTGTGCACAACATTTACAGGTGTAACAATCATGGCAGCTTTTAATCTATATCAACACTTCTCATTGCAGCATACAGAAAAGCTATAACCTGAAAAAGCAGGCTAATTATAATCAATGGTGGCATGTGAAAAAAAATGCAGACACCCTGTAAATCAAGGAACATTCAGCTTTTTGATAATTATTATATTCAAGAATTAAATGATGAACAGGAAAAAAAAAAAACAAAAAGAAAATAATATATTTGTCGTCTGCTAGAATCAGGGTCCTTCAAGCCTTTAGATAATAGCAAAAGTTAGCAGATAATAAATATTATTGACTATAGGAAGTTAAAAAAAATGTGACATGAACTGAACTGAACCTCTGATATGATGCCTAGAATTCTTGCTGAAGAGCTTCGTATTTGGTCATCATCGTTGTAGATCAATAACATGTGTCTTAATGGGACCATTAACACTCTTTCCAGCATGCTTGACAACACCTTTTAGGGCGACCAATATTGCCTCGCGAACCCCACGTTCTGATTCCTGTAGGTTGGATAGAAGATCCCCAACTAGGGGATCAACTCTTGTGCTTAGTGTACTAAGCTTACCAAGTGCAAGAGCAGCACTTGAATGAACAGTCCTGCAAATTGACGAGAATACCCTTGTAAGTCGAATAATCAACAAAAGACGGTAGTATAAAAAAGGTCTTACCTTGTGTTGTCCTGCAAGAATTTGACAAAAGTGGTTTGTAGCTATGGGAGAAAAGGTTTAAGAGCCATCCCACCTTTTGCTATTATGATGGTCAAAGTTGACAAAATAGCACTTTTCACTTGCCATGGGAATCGATCGCCTATAATTCGGATTAGAGGCCTGGAATCATCATAAAATAGACAACACAAGTCGAGCAAAAAAAACTAAAAAAGAAAAATAGAATTAAAATAAAAGACTCCTATGCATAAATGGTACATACCCTGTAATAGGGATAACAAACTCCTTAAGTGCTTTTTACTTGTTACTTCAATCAATTCTCCAAGACCTTGAGTAGCCTGTTCTCTCAATTCACTATGGGAATGTGAATGTCACAACTTCATACCGCATGATCATCATCTCCCATGGCAGAGAGCAATGCAGGAAGAACTGTTGAAAGATGGACATTTAAACCAGCACCTGCAACCTCCGCAACAGATCCTATAGCATGTGCATTGAAAGCATTAGAAACCATGTTTCCATCAATAGTTAGAATCATATAATTAAATTGTCTAAGTAAGAGACAAGGAAACTTGAATGACAGGTACATACGAGAGAGGGAGATGAACAAGCTTTGGCAATATATGAAGCAACACAGCTGTTGTTCGGACACTGTCATAATTCCAGGAAGCTTTTTAGTATTTGATACTAGTTAAGTCTAAGATTATCTTAAAACTATAAATTGTGGTCCTTGATACCTCAAAATTTGTTTACGGCCATCAAGGGCAGTATCTGCCATGTCATCCTCTTCCAAAGCACGGAGGAGTGTTGGGACAATTTCATCAATTGCTTGCATTCCCGCACTCTACAGAGTACTAACAGAAACTAACAAACATAAGGAGAAAAAGGTAAAAATCATAAATGTACCTATCACAAAGAGCTGTACGAATGGTGGGAATAAGATCATCCATGAAACTTAACAACTGGCTCCTACCAGCACTAACCATCACTTCACTCAGTCCAATGCAGACACCCTGTAAATCAAGGAACATTCAGCTTTTTGATAACTATTATATTCAAGAATTAAATGATGAATAGGAAAAAACCAAAAATAAAATAATGTACTTGTCGTCTGCTAGAATTAGGGTCCTTCAAGCATCTGCAATTGATTCAGTATCTGTAATTGATTCAGTAGCATCATTTGTAACATTTGATCCAACCCAATGGGTCCTATTTTTCCATGCTTCTGCGATTGATTAAGTATCTAGTTTTAACTCACATCATCTTGGTAAACAAATAGTTGGAAGCCACTTCGAGCACTTGGGCACAATCATCTAGGTGTAGGTTTGATTTCTTGCCACTACAATAACACATTATATGGTGCTAAATAGTCATTGGTTTTTCTTTGCATTCTGCTTAAAACAAACTGTGATCATTGAATAATGAGATATCTAATTTGGTGTCTACATCAGATGTTCAACTGTCTGGATGGTCTTTTGCAGTTCCCTTTAATTCTAAGAGAAAAAGGATAACTATTGTAGATCAGAGGGCGTTGCTAGAATCCTTTGTCAAAAAGTATGTGTCTTTTCAGTTGCTATTATTTTTTGTTGCATTATTATTTATAATTATCAAAAACATACTTATATAATTTGTGTCTGAATTGCAGATGGAGGAAGAAAAGGCTTTAAGACAACTAAGAAAGACTTTGGTTACTCATGCAAGACCAATATCTAGCTTCAACTAGCCTTTCTTACCCCAAAGGTAGTATTGTCAAAAAAAAATTATAGCATCGATACTTGACTATTTTACAATATATTCTTACTAGATCCAAAATGTCTAATTTTAGCCTTTTTTTCCTTTGTTTTTTTGTAAAATATTGAACTTTTTGTTATGTTTATATATTGTGAACATGTCATCAAAAGGAGTAACAAAACCAAGATTAAAGATCAACGAAAGAAGAAAAATGACGGTGGATGCAACAACTTCAAGTGATGCATCAAATATGAGGTTACGATGTGTGTGTGAAAAAATCTTGATTTCTGTTCAACAATTCTTGAATATTATAGATAAATCTGGTGTAATTCATTGTTCATGTTCATTGCAAATATGTAGTCTAGTTAACTTTTATGAAGAAAAACATCACAACAAATATTATGATTGATTTCAAGATAAAATTGCAAAAATGGTCTTTCAGTTTTTTACTTTTATATTTGTTGGTTTTAAAATTTTAATTTGATTATGTTTTAAGATTTTTTGTGTTGAATATATAACTATTTTTAAATTTTCCATGAATTTATAAAAATTAATTTTATAATGCCAAACTTTGTTGGTAATCTGTCACATATAATATGTTGGTAATCTGTTAGTGAGTTGTTCCGATATTTCGTCGGTAATCCGTCAGTGAGTTATTCCGTGAATCTGTTGCAGAAATATTTCAGTCGGTGATCGGTGACTAATTACCGACGGAAAAATCTGTCGCTAAAATTTGTTGTAGCCGTCAGAAATCCGTTACAAACAATTAGCAACAAGAATACACAGACAGATTTTGGTATGCTGCAATTTCGTCGATAAAGCCTATTAGCGACGGATTACTGACGGTTTTGGCCGTCGCTAATGCTCTTTTTTGTAGTAGTGTATACCTTAGAATCTAATTTAAAAAGTTGAAAGTCAAAAGTATATAGAATATTTGGCATATGAATAATAACATTGAAGTGTAGAAATTTGGAATGATTTACTTCCAAATTTAAACATATTAGTATGTATTCATAATACTGTGGGATAAGATTAATTTATGTAGATTTTATACCTTATTTTAAGGGTGTATATTGGTGAATTAAATTAAAGGGTAGAAATGTAATACTCTATCATGTATAATTTCCATTTTTTAACAAGCCGTGTTAATTATTGTCTTTTATTAGAAAGAAGATTTTCAAAATCTTTGGTTGATAATGGTATGATACTTTCTCCTTGAAGTTATATGCATGTATAATTTCCAATTTTCAACAAGCCGCCTTAATTATTGTCTTAGGCCGTGCTTGTCTCTAAGTATTACATTAATTATACATTTTATTTTTGTTCTCGATCTGAAACATTTATATTTAAACAGGTCAGAGCACACTGCACAACTTTGTAAGAAATTTACTGTACATTAATTTCCTACCTCATGTTTCGTTTCATGTAAAGAATTATGTATTTTTGTATGCATAATATAATCATTTTAGTTTTTTATATTGTTCCGTTTAATTAATCGTTCCAAAAGTTATTCTAGAAAGAAACTTAACATTAACTATGTAAATTTAGATTTTATGAAACGGTTGCCACTAGACTATTGATAGGAAACTTAATCGGAAAACCAAAACAAAACTCTTATCATCATCCAATCTTGGATCTCTTTCTTAAAGAAATGATGGGGCATCATGATCACGATTACTTGTTCAAGATTGTTATGATCGGGGATTCACGTGTCGGGAAAAGCAACCTCTTTTCACAATTCTCCAACAGCCAATTCAACCTCGAATCCACAGCCCTGCACCATCGGGGTTCAATTCACCTCGAGTAGCATCAACGTTAATGGTAAGATCATCAAAGCCCAATTTTGGGACACCGCTGGTCAAGAAAGGTATACATGTTCGTCGTTCATCTTTAGAATTTCTAGATCTAACATGCATGCACTACCTTTCTTTTTATATATTAATTCGTTGGTATCCCATATATATCAGCTACATATGATCTGTCATATCTGTTCAATTATAAGAACTACAGGTATCGAGCGGTAGTTAGCGCGTACTATCGAGGCGCAGTAGGTGCATTGATCGTATATGACATCACACGTAAAATGACATTTGAACACGTGGGAAGATGGTTGAAGGAGCTTCGGGATCACAGCGATCAAAACATGGTGATCATGCTACTTGGGAACAAAGCTTATCGAATTAACTTAGGAATGGTGCAAAGGGAGGATGCAAAGACATTTGCCGAGAGAGAGAATATTAAGTTATTCATGGAAATATCGGCTCTGGATAAATCAAGTGTCGACAACGCTTTCACCAAACTGGTAACTCAGATTTACAAGCATGTGGTGAAGAAGGAGCTTGACATGGCTAATCATCATATCGTCGAACCCAAGGGACAAATGATTAGCGTTGGTCATGAAGATGTCAGGATCACAAAGGGAAGTGTAGGTTTCCTTCTTCCAAAACATACCTCAAATTGATCCTGACGAGCTGAGCGTTTCTTCTCACTGATCGATTGCTTGGTTGAATTCTAATAAATCCAAAGTACGTCCTGGTTTCCAATATTATATATAGAGGCTTACCATAAACATTTAGCTAGCCACATTTCATATCTTGTCCGTATGATTAATTAATCATGTATAAAGCTTATATATTTGCTCCAAAGTGTGTTTGTATTCTGAGTTTATTTATTGAACAATATTGGGTCCCATGCCTTCATAATTACATCCCATTTGCGAAGTTGCCTTACTATTCGTGATCATAAAAAAATTGTATCCATGCAAGTTTATATACTTCCTTTTAGTGTGTATGTGTGTGTTACCTACTGGACAATGTAACAGGTTGCAGGATTTGATTATGGCATCTGGAAGTAATTTAGAAGACAAATATGGCTCCATAAATGATCCTCAAGACTCTCTAGTGGTGATAATTTCTCCATTTGGAAGAACCGTATGATTGGTTACCTTACCTAAACTTCGTTGACAGCCAGTGACGGATCCAAGATGAAAATTAACCGGGGTCCATCATATAAAAAATACAAATAAAATTAAAACACTTTGAAATTTTAGGATACTTATAGTTTTTTTCAGCAAAAAAAAATCCAATGAGGGACTTTTCTTGTAAGAGTGGGTGCCATTGAGGGTGTTTCTTAATAAAAGGAAAATTATTTAAGGGTATATATGGTAATATTATGGCTCTAATCCTCTTTCAAGTGGGGTGCTTGGACCCCACCTCAAACAAGCTGGCTCCGCCACTGTTGACAGCAAATTGGTAGAAACAATAAAGGTGTGACATTAAACTCGATATAATAATAAGAATAAAGAAATTGAACAAATTACACGAATGGTCCTTACGGTTTTGTTTTTTCCCTAAATAGTCCTTACGAAACTTTTTTTCCTCAGATGGTACCTACGGAACAAACCTTGTATACAAAAGGCCCTTGTCACTAACTTTGCTAACAGATTCTGTTAAGTTTTGTTAAAGACAAAACTTCAAAAATGGTCACTGTGGTTTCTGAAAATCTGAAGTTTGGTCCCTAATTTACAAAAACCTAACGGATCGTCCCTGTGGTTTCAAAACTTTTAACATTTGGTCCTTCCAGCTCACTCCGTTAGCATTTCACCGTTAACTCATTTTTCAATATTATATTGCAGGGGTAATTTCGTCATTTCAGTTGTAACCTTCTCTCTTTAAAAGAAATTGCATGTCCGATTTTTGGGCAAACCCTTTACCTTTATCTGCGAGCGTCATCTCTCTTCTCCCTTCCACTGTTGCTCGACCGTTGCACCCTTTACGACACCCAATCGCTTCTGACTCAAAGATGGTGACTTGCAGATGTGGGAATGAAGCAATGAAAATCACTTCATGGACGGATCGTAACCCTGGAAGACAATTTTGGAACTATACAAGATGTGGGTTCCTTCGATGGTCTGATCCTCCTATGTGTGCTAGGGAATTGGTGGTGATTCCAGGTTTGATAAGATCAATGAACCGATTGGAAGAGAGGGTTGCCATTGTGAGTGCAGAATTGTGTAACTACCGATTGGTGTTGTTTTGTTCATGGGTGTTCTTTTTTTGGTTTTATTTTAATCTCTAAGTATCTTGTGAAAGTTTGGATGGTAATAGAGTTTTGGTTTTTGGTTTGTAACCGTTGCAGGGGTTTTTTTTGCTTTCAGTTTATGTAGGGGGTTTTGGAATTGGTGTTGTTGTATTTGGTTTATGTATCAGATTAATGTGTAATGGAGTGGTAATGGTAATGGTAATGGAATGTAGTTTGTTATAGTTGATTGTTCAATTTCTTGAATGTTTTTGAAATGCAATTGTTAAGTGTATTGTAAATGCATCTTTAAGATGGTTTTGATTTACAATTGAAATGTACAATGTTATTAATTGATCTGTGAAGGGTAGTACACAAAACAGATTAATTCATTACCAAAATATGCATACACACCATTACATGCGAAGTTTTAAAGTTCTTAACACAACCATCATACTAAGTTTCAAAACAAATAAAGACCTACAACACAAGCACGACTTAAGTTTCAAAAGACCTACAACACAAGCATTACATGCAAAGTTTTCAAGTTCTTAACACATCTTCAAACAAGTACACATGACTTAAGTTTCAAAAGACCGACAACACAAGCATCCTAATAACTACTAAAAATAGTTTTCAGCCCCCTCCAACTTCACCACTGCCTCCCTGTCCTTTACATGTTCTGGAATTATGCCCTTTGTTATGACAATTTGAACAAGTGACTGCCAGATATTTCCTGATTAATCTACCAGCTTGGCTGTTTGGCTCATCAACACCCCTCCTTCTCTTCTTCTTAGGCCTCCCAACCTACACATATTGATATACTATAATTAAAATTGAATTCATTCCATGTTCACATGTATACTATATATTTGGTCTACTTGAAATACAAACTTGTGTTTTATGTTTTGGTGGAAGTAAAGTGAATGGGCAGTCACTTTTAGGCCACATTGAACGTCCATTCAATGGATCAATTTTGTTGAAATACATGGCTTTCCATGTTGATAGCCTATAGCAAGGATGAGCCCATTCATCAACATGTGGGGCACTTTCACCATTTTCAATTTTGTCCCATATAGCACTAACAACATGTCTACATGGGAAACCTGTAATATCCCAAAACCTAAAACTGCAACTTTGGTCATTCAAGTTTACCACATACTGATCTTGCCATGTGCTTGCCACTTGGTACTTTCCTGCCCCATTGTATTTAGCCACATACTTAGTTGCATCAGTCTTAATCTTTTCAAACACTGTAGTTGCAGTAGGGGTTAGAAGTCCTTCACACTTATCTATTTCCTTCACACTTATCTATTTCCTCACAAAGATTATTCAACAAACAATCAGTGTGTGCCCTTCCTGAATAATAGATATTAAGAGAAGACAATTACACATATAGTAAACACACAACATGGAAGATTAACATTTATCAATAAATTTCTACAAACGTACCACTAAATTGAGATGGGAATGAACCCGATGATTACAAATGTAACTGGTTATCTTCTTGGGAGAGGGACGGGTAGTGAGTTGACGTGCAAACAATAGGTAATCATTTCATATTAAAGAGAGAAGGTTACAACTGAAATGACGAAATTACCCCTGTAATATAATATTGAAAAATGAGTTAACGGTGAAATGCTAACGGAGTGAGCCGGAAGGACCAAATGTTAAAAGTTTTGAAACCACAGGGACGATCTGTGAGGTTTTTGTAAATTAGGGACCAAACTTCAGATTTTCGGAAACCACAGGGACCATTTTTGAAGTTTTGTCTTTGTTAAATGACAAAAATACCCTTTGATTTATGCACACAGATGGTCCTTTCTCTCTCTCTCTCTCTCTCTCTCTCCCAACACCACCAGGTTATGATTTAGGGATTTTCATAATTGCTTCAAAAATTTAAAAGTCAAATTCATAAATTTGTGGGCAAACTGTGTTTTAGGTGTAACTAAGAACTTTGCACCATGGAAAGATCATTCAGACAAAAGATCAAACACTTGGTGGGCAATAAGATTAGACATGTTTCCCTTTGTTAATTGTAGCATTTTACAAACTTGAAAGAACACCTGAAAGCATAAACATCGTTTTTACACCCATTTCCATTCTCACGCTCTTCACTTGCTCATAACCCATTAACCCCTATACCAAAAAAAACATAATTTTGAATCAAAGATCCAATCACGATGAACAACATGAAGCAGTTAGATAAACAATCAAATGCAAATCAAAGGAGAGATGAAGAAATGTCGACTATTCAAACCCCACCTTACTCACCTAAATCCCTCACCGATATCTCCCAAGATTCATCAATTACATCCTCATAGAACAGCGTCTCCTCTTCAACCTAATAATAATCTTGATCGGTTCCACCCTCGTCATCCTCAGACCATCGTTTACCACCATCCGATACCGGTAGAGGATATGAAATCCCACATGTGCAATGGAAGAGAAAGTTCAAGAAGAAGAAGTCATCTAGCTGTAACTTCCTCGAACTTAGCTCTAGGAACGGGAATGACGATATTGTAACATCTGGGATTTTTCCAGGTATTATGAGTATTTGCCTTAATTAATTTATGGGTTGTTTGGTTGGGCTTTGACTTTGGGCCCTTAAGAGTGGGCTGAGGAACCTCGTACGCGGGGCGTACATTGCTATGTACGCTCAACGTACTCAGGAAAACGAATCGCGGAAGCCATGCACGTACGCCCAGCGTACCAGGAGTACGCCCAGCGTACGTGTGCAGATCCTTAAACCCTAAAATTAGAGTTTGCTCCCTATATAAATAACATAACCCCTGTTGGTTCAACCTCCCTTCACTTTTACCCAGCCACCACGAAAACCCTAGCTCCCTTTGTGTGCCTTTGTGTTCTAGAAGCCATTTGAGAGTGTTTATGTGTTGTTTTAGTGAGAAAAGAAGAAAGGAGCTTGAAGAAGAAGCAAGGATCCACCAAGAGCTTGTAGATCCAGAGGATTGACACCATTTCTGACTCTTTTGAGGTATCAAGCTCCATACTTGACCATTGTATGCTTAGATTTGTTTATTTAGGGGTTTTTATGTCCTTTTTGACCCAATTGTTGGGAGTGCTTGAGTATTGTTGGTTCCAGAGCATAAGAGCTGTCCTTTTGGACTCTTAGAAGCACCTAGGGTCATAAAAATCAGATCTTGGTGGTTAAGCCAAAACCATGCAAGGGTTAGATGGTCTTACAGTTTGTATAAGGGAAAATGACACTGTTACACATTAAAGTTTCGTCATTTGTCCGATTTGGTCATTAAAGTAATTTTCTTGCGCATTAGACCACTAAACTCGTATTTGACCTGTCAATTAAGCCATTTTTGTCAAAATTAACCGGTTACCAGGTCACAAAGCTGATGTGGCATTTAATAATTAATTTATCTTTATTATTTGGTAGCCACGTCATTTAATGGAAGTGAATTACTTCATGAA